AAGTTCATCACTGCTCAATGTTATCCAATCGAAAATGATGTCATAGCAAATCCGAATTTTTTTGGTACCCTCCACTTTTTTTGACTTTTCTTGACGACTGAATAAGTTCACTTCTTAGTCAGATTCGTTCTAATAGAATTATTCAGATTTGTTGGCAAATTCGACTCACCAATACTGACGGTTACAATGACGTCAAAGAGACATTTATCAAGCTTTACAATCCACAGCAGTAGATTGAAAGTTTAAAAAATGATTCAGTTAACAAGAAACTCTTTAACTGTGGTATCGCAGAATCCTCATTGCTGATTTAAATGAACTGATTTAAACGACAGATGGAATGAGGTTTATCTGATAGTGAGATAGATTTGTTCAGTTCATATTTTTCAATGCACTTCTTATCGAATCAATTCATGTCTATTTCGTTTTATCACCAATTCGTCATGTTCATTTTTAAGACTGACTGCATTTGCATAAACTTCATTTATATGGCCGTCACATCAATGTCGTTTCCTTATAGATGAGCTTATCTTATAACACAGTTATCAGATTCTCGTTGTTTCTGCTCACAATCAGTACGGTTTTGATCTCAAATAATCTGTCTAAATTGGCTTGAACTGGCCGAATTGCATCCGATGTGTACTTGATAAATATGAGAAATAAACACAAATAAACTTTGAGTTTTGATTTCACGATTAATCGCATTCATTCAGATAATAACATCGAGAAATGCTCAATTAAAACGCTGCAACATGGCATTCTTTCACTACCGTATACCCGACGAAAAGCACCGAAAAATAAACAATAGCAATAAAAATGATATCCACACTCCTTTGTGCTGTCATTCAAAATGTTCTTCAAAATGATCACATTTTGAGCGCCGCAAAGATTGTTGGGGCTGAGTAGATATTATAGAATTTTTTTCGTGTAAAGGACAAACAATAAAAATTTTTCAAGTCCTCTCAAGACTTAAGAGACAAATTCAAAGAGTGCAGAGGTGGATTCGATAGAAATTTGTGGTGATTAGACGATGCGATGAGATGACTCGCGGCGCTTTTTATCACTCACTCTCTGAGGATTTCAAATAAAAACAGAATTGAGAACAACGTTGTGCTGCGGGAACGTTAAATTATCTCTCTTTCATTACTACTGAATAGTCACTTGTCATAGTAGCAGTGCAGCATGAGCATGAGCATGTGCATGTGCACATGCACTTTCAGCTAAGTTCAATCATTGAATATCTGTCTTAAACAGAGGCATAGTTGTATTGCTTGTGAAGCAATTTGCTAGTAATAACTATCCGAATCATGCAGTATTCTTGCCGCCGTAAATCTACGAGAATTCAATTAAACTCGTTCGATTAGCCATAAAACGTTTGTGTGTGTCTTCATGCGATTCAGCGCGATTCGTGAATGATTAATCGGATATTGTGAATTTAGATTGAATTCGATCGTCGTTATTCACCAAGGAAATGTTGAAAACAATTTTTTGGAAAATCAATTTCTGTAAAGCAGAATTTCTTATTAGAGAGCGATTAGTTAAGGCTCGTAGAAGAAGACCTTCACGGAAAACTGGCAATGTTCTGAGAACTCATCATTTTTACGGTGGAGTTGAATGATTGAATGATTAATGTGAATCGGAAATTCCGATGCGCTGAACAATATCAATAAATAAGTTCGGCGTAAAAACTGCATTGAATTTTTTTGCTCATCAAACGGACAACGCAAAATTTATCGAGAACACACCATTTCATGAAGATTCCAAATGTAATTTATCGGTGAAGTTTTTAGAATGCTCACTCGATGAATTATCGCATGGCGATCATTTTAATGTATCACGTGAATCATCACTTCAACGCTGAAATTTCACATTCGGAAAGGAAAGCAACAATAAATATCATTTCGGTTTCTTTATTTCTTTTAAAATTCTAAAACTCGTTGTTATGTTTCGAACGTACAGCTGTGCAAAAATAACCACTGGACTTGGACAATCGCACTGAAGATGACTAGCTCGAAATCAAAACAGAGTGAATCCAAAGGGTTTTGAACACTAATTGTGGTAGATTCATCAATGAGCTAACAGATTTGAATGCCTCAAACAAATACATAAATTTCAAATTTAATTAATGTAAAGAGTTCAAAATTTTAAACGGCATATACGACGTCTCGCAAACATAATCGAATCAGAATGAGCGTAACTGAAGAGTTGACTGATCTGCCGCACAAAATGATCATCTTGTTATGAAGCGTTGAATGTTGACGTTGATGCAGAGATTTGTCGTCAAGCATTAACTGAGGATAACAGATACACACTGACGGATTGAATAAATAGAGGATATGGAGGATTTTCTTGTGCTCATTAACAATCACCGAGATTTTAACGAACAGAGCAATTCTTCATTAGGCATTAAAATGCTGCCTAATAATAACACTCACTTGTCATTGACTATGACCTTATCTATTACTGAGAACACTGTGGAAGTTCATGGTGTAGTAGGAGAATCTTGAGCACTAAGAAGGTACATGATGAGATATTGCATCGAAAAAGACTAAATTTAAGATTAAATGACTTGAATTCAAGAGAATTCAGCGGACTTCTACCAAACCCAAGCTGTGGCAAATCCTTGTGGTCTCGATCCGGAATACAAGTGTGAATCTGGAAGACGAAGACTTTTACAGACGGGATCAGGCCTGCGCATGAGACATGGATACAATGTCGGCCCAACAGCTCAAGAGCAGTTATCATCAACGAGCAGCAACGAGAATCTCATCAGCACTTCGGTCGGATGTGAGTGTTGGAAGAAAGGCGTGGTCATCAGTATCATTAGTACAGCTAATATGATTGTTGGAAATGTGCTGCTGAAGAAAAAGGGGCGAAAAGCAATGTTAACAAGTATCATTTATGTTTCCTACATTTAAGTGCAAAAAATTTTTCGGAAACACCACATTCTGCGCTATTATCGCTAACGATGCGATGTGTAGGGTTTTTGAATGCATCTCTAGAACAGAAAATTCTCAACGTTAGAGAATTGGCAAAATCCTTTTTTTAAGAATTTCCTTGATTATCTTCTCACAATCAGAGAAATTTGTTTTTTGACGACTCTGAACTGATTCAAACAGAACTGATTGCAATTGATCATTTATGGCATAACATGATCATAAGATGCGCTAAAAAACTAAAGTCCGTTTACTACGGTATATAAGTGGTAATATAACACGCCAAACAATACATGTGCTAAGTTTGTTTGCAGTGTTTTTTCGCTATAATACGATAATTAAATTTCTAAAAGCCTCATCAACCCAAAACGAAAAAAAAGTGACCGCAATGAGGGAAACAGTTTTCTGATTTTAAAAAAAAGAATTGTCCGATGACGTTGAAAAACGCAAAGAAAAATGATCTTGCAACATGCACTGACTAGCGCATCCCATTAGCATATGTATTTAAGATGATACTTCAGTGAATACAATCTATTTGAGAACATATCAGTTTTCGATAGAATTTGAAATATCACATCAGTAACAATTCAAGATTCCAAGTCAAT